GGCCACCTGTTTAGGCTTTTGCACAGCAATTATTAATTCCAAAATTTCTTTTTGATATTTTATGTTAGTCCCTTGAGAAGATAGAAGCCCTCGTTCTTTCCATAATGCTCCATGTATATGTACTACACCGAACGCGTACTTTGAATCTGTCCAGATATTTACCTTTTTGTCGTTACTCAGTTCCAGTGCTCTCATAAGAGCTATGAGTTCAGCCCGTTGTGCTGATGTTCCAGGAGGTAGCGCTTTTGCTTCAATTATCTTTTGCTGTGTTGTTACAGCATATCCTGCATACCGTGTTCCATTTTCCACAAAGCTGCTACCATCTGTGAAGAGTTCCCAGTCAGGTTCTTCGGGAGGTTCATCCTTTAAATCTGTTCTAGTTGCATATGTATGCTCAATAACCTCTATACAGTTGTGTTCAAGCGTCCCTTCTTCTAGGTCCGTTCCTAGAAAGGCTGCTGGATTTAACAGGTTAGTAGTCTTTAAGCTTACATCATCTTGTTCTGTTAAAATTGCTTGATATTTCATCATCCTGCTAGGGGATAACCAGTACCCCCCTTTTTGTTCCAAGACGATTGTCACCATATGTGGCACAAACACTTCCATGTGTTTTCCCAAGGTCAGTTTTCTGGCCTCCTGTATCAGAACAATAGTCGCTGCTACTGCTCTCAAACATACAGGCCATCTCGCACTTACTGGGTCCAGCTGTTTTGAGAAATATCCTACTGGTCTCTTCCAGCTCCCAGGTTTCTGAGTTAACACTCCCAACGCTAATCTCTGTCTCTCATGGACGAGTAACTGAAAGTCCTTTGTCAGATCTGGGAGTCCCAAAGCCGGAGATTTCATTAATGCCTCTTTCAGTTTCTTAAAGGCCTCTTTCTGTGGTTTATTCCAAACAAAAACAGGTGATTTTTGGGCCTCATACAGGGGTTTAGCAATGAGTCCATAGTCCATTATCCATAATCTGCACCACCCTGCCATACCCAAAAATGTTCTTAACTCATGTAGGTTCCGTGGTTCTGGAATGGCACAAATTGCCTCTATGCGATTTATTCCCAGCCTTCGCTGCCCTTGTGAAATTTCACATCCTAAGTACAACACAGTTGTGCATGCAATTTGCGCCTTTTCTTTTGAGACCTTATACCCGTTCAGGCCTAGTTGGTTTAAGATTTCAATGGTTACCTTTATACACAATGACTCCTGTTCTGTTGCAATAAAGATGTCATCAACGTATTGCAATAGGAGATATTGTGATCTCGGTACCTGTATTTTTCCTCGAGTGGTCCATGTTTCCAGTTCTTTGGCCAGCTGGTTTCCGAAGAGAGTTGGACTGTTCTTAAATCCCTGCGGGAGTCTGGTCCATGTCAATTGGGTCTTTCGTCCATTCTCTGGGTTTTCCCATTCAAATGCAAACAATTTCCTGCTACTTTTGTCAAGAGGAATGAAGAAAAAGGCATCTTTTAAATCAATCACTGTAAACCATTTATACTTTTCCTTCACAGATGTTAACAATGTGTAAGGGTTTGCAACCACTGGGTGGATATCTTTTGTTATTTCATTTATGGCCTTCAGATCCTGGACTAACCTGTACTCACCATTAGGTTTCTTCACTGGAAAAATTGGGGTGTTATATTCTGATTCACATTCTTCTAAAATTTGGTATTTTAAAACTTTCTCAATTGTTTTTATAATTCCATATCTTGCTTCTAATTTCAGGGGATATTGTTTAACTCTTACTGGCCTAGCTCCATCCTTTAATTCCACTATTACTGGCTGAGCAGTTTTTGATTTTCCTGGAATTTCTGTTTCCCAAACTGTTGGTATTACAGCTTGTTCTGCCTCCTCCAGGGTTCGAGCAATAGGTTTATCTTTCAAAACCAAAATTTGTCCTGCCTTGGGTTCCGGAATCTGCATTATTAATTCACCATTTTCAAAAATAATTGTTGCATCCAATTTAGCTAACAGATCTCTTCCTAAAAGAGGAACAGGACATTCAGGCATATACAGAAATTCATGTGTCAACTCTTTCCCCCCAAATCGCAAATCTAGGGGCTGTAGGAACGGCCGTGTTTCTTCCTTCCCTGTGGCCCCTATTATTGTGGTTGTCTTTTTCCCTAACCTTCCGTGTAAGTCATTTAAGACTGAATAGGTAGCCCCTGTGTCCACTAAAAATTTTACTTCTTCTCCTAACTGTATTTTCACAAGGGGCTCCTTAACTCTTGCTTCGGTTAGTCAGCTTTGATTATTATATTCCCCCAGCACCATTGCTTGAGCTACTTCCGATCCCACAAAAGGGTTCCTTGGAGACATAATTCTTCCCTTTAATGGATATTCATTTTTCCAGTGTCCCTCCTGTTTGCAGTTTGCACACTGATTATATCCTATTCTTTCCACATTTATTCCTGTGCTCGGATTACAGAATCCTCTTCCTCGTCCCCGCACGTTTCCTCTCCCTCTACCCCTAGAGTTAGCGAAGCCCTGCTCTCTCCCCTGGACCACTGCCAATAGATTTTGCTGTTGCCTCCGGGAATTCTCTTTTTCTCTATTGTTATTCACCTTCCAAGCCGCTTCTAGCAATCTGTCTAAGTTTTGCAAGTCCAGCTTCTGCAGCTTCCAGCTTCTCCAGCTTCCCTCCAGCTTCTGCAATTTCTTCCTAATGTCATCCTGAGACTGCCCCAAAAAGATCAAAGCCAATTGTGCCTTAGCCTGTTCAGTTTCCACATCCAGATCCGTATATTTCTTTGCTGTCTCTTTAAGTCTTTCCAAGAAAGCAGACGGTGATTCTGTCTTTTCCTGCCTTACGTTATATAGCTTTGACCAATTTATTGTTTTAGGCATAGCATTCTGCACTCCAACAATCACCCAATCTTGATACCTTCGCAAATTCCTCATTCCCCTTGCCGTGTTATAATCCCACATTGGATCTTCTGTAGGGAAATTTTGATCTACGTTTGCTTCAACCAGTCCCTGTCGTATATCCTCCCGAACCCTTTCTCTTGCAGCCCGCAACACCATTTCCTTTTCTGTTGAATCCATAAGGGTGTCTAAAAGCACCTGGATGTCATCCCAGTCTGGATTCTGGGTTTTAATGATCATTTTCATTACACGGGCTACCCTATCAGGATTCTCTCTGTATGTTCCCTGCTGATTGTTTCCAGATAACCAAATCCCCAGGAGAAAAGGGCACTTTAACATACACAGGTCCTTCTGTTCCAACTCCCTGTCTTAAAGGTGCAAGCACTGCACTAGGTGCCTAAGACACCTGAGTCTGCACTTTCTTTTTCCATTCTCCCCTCTGACGAGTTCGGTGTGAAACTGGAGTAGCAGAAATCTCTGTTTCTCTGCAATCGCAATCACTCTCATTCTCAAGACCATTATCACTATCATTCTCCTCCCCCCTTTCTTCCTTTGCTACTAGCGGTGAAAGCGGAGCCGCTGCCAAATCAAGATTTTCATCATCTTTCTGGTGCTGCAAACTCTTTTCTACAGCAAGACATCCAACACACTTCTTCTCAGTAACACATCCTTTACATTGTTCATTTGCACTTGCTTTAACAACTAAAATCCCACAAGACTTCTGCCATTCCTTATTGTTCCTTAAAGTAAAGAAAAGGTCTACATTCAGCACTTCATCCCAGTTTTCTTCCCTTCTACAAAACAACATTGGTTGCAAAATAGTATTATATTCCAGAGTCCCATTTTCAGGCCACTTTTCCTGATCCCCTAGTTGATACTGTGTCCACCAAACATTACAATAATCAATCAATTTACTTTTCCGCATACGTTGCCCAAATCCCCCTTCCTTCCAATGGCTTAGCAAACAGCCTAGCGGAGACGACTTGGGAATCGGCGGCATCTTGTGAGTACAAAGGAGTTTCCTTTTGTACCACAAATCCTAAGGAAAACTTGTTTCCTGTACAACACTAAGTTACAACAGTTATCTACACCGATGCTGTTCCTGCAGCATAAATACCAATGCCGAACCTGCAGAGCTTTCGCTACTGTCTAATGGACGGCGCCTAGGCTTTTACCCCGAGAGCTCTCTAGCCCCAACCAAGCGCAGCTTTCGCCACGTCTAACAGGCAGGCTTTACTACTAGCCCAGCCACACACACAGCTTTTTGCTGCGTGTAACTGGCAGGCGTTTTACCAGACCTTTACCAAAGGTCAATACCATACATTTACCAAAAGTCGGTACCGTAACCTAGATCAAAAAGCACCTTTCTTACCGTATCAGAGGTCCGTCGTGAGCAGCGGAGGTCGGTCGCGGTCGATAGCTCCCCGAGAATCTCTCGGTGCCGGCTGGAGCAGGATCGAAACGCGATCCGCCTCAGCAATGCCCGCGAGGTCCCATCTGGGTCGCCAAAAACGTTAGCGTCGAGACAAACACATAACCACCGGGATGGTTATATGAGGTGCTTTATTGAGGCGCCGGGAACCAGGGGTACGCACCCAGATCTGGTTCCGATTCCCGTCACATCGCGTTCGCAATTTATACACTAAAATTTTGTAACTAATACATATTCAACACAGATTACATCATTGACTAATACATATGCATCAAAGATTGCTACATCAATTTATTCCGACATCATCCTCTTCTGCGCTTGCGCCGCCCCCTCTGGTGGTCGTCCTGATGAAGTAAGGAGTCTTCCTCAGATGAAGTAAGAAGTCTTCCTCAGGACCTTTTCCTTACTTGGATATATCCCAACCCTTGTGTGGACGCTAGCATTTTCTTATCAGCTTCTGGTATGCTCTTCTGGCTACCTTATGCATAGGTTCCATTTGGGTATAGTCTCCAGTACATACCTTTCTAAATCCACCCATACACATATTATTGCAACACTGGTTACAGAACAACCGTGACACAAAATTGCAAAGTTACAACATTTTCTAATATATAAAACCTCACTATTGATTTATAAATTTCTCAAATATAATAATTTCTACTATTTTATATGATTATTTTATTGTAAAAAACTTCACCTCCTCTAACACCAGGAGACCTGGATATTCCCGAACATCCTGCTGTTCTACCCCGAGGCTGCCCGAGCCATGCTGGAATACCGGATCCGCACGCTGGAAGGAGCCCTGCGCAACGCACGGGAGCAAGGCTACGAGGTGGGGATGGGGCCGGGGACGGGCATGGAGGTGCTGGGCGGGGGGCGTGCAGCCCCCATGGGCGCCGTGAGGCTTTGCTCGGCTCCGCTCTGAGCGGGGCTCTGCTCCTGCCAGGGCGCTAAGTTCCCATGGGAGAGCGCAGCCACCGGCCGGGAAGTCTGCCCTGAGGAGATCTACGGAGCGCAGGAGATCCACGTCACCGGGGACGTGCTGGTGGCCTTTGAGCAGTATTACCACAGCACGCAGGTACCGGCGGCTCCGGCGCTGTCACTGCTCCCACAGGGGCTCTGCTGCTCTCTGCTCCCATCAGTTACTGGTGGTGCCTCCGGTCCCTCCTCCAGCCCTGCCTGCTCTGTCCTTGCTCCTCGTGGGTGGCTCAGCATCCTCTTGGCTCAACCCAGGCCGGTTTTCTGCCCTTTCCTCCTGCTGCATCCATCTGAGCGCTGCTGTCCTGCCGCTGGGCTGGCTCTGGGGCAGCCTCCCTCACAGCCCGCTTCCCTCTGGCTGCGGCTGCTCCAGGACCAGAAGCTGTTCAGGGAGGATGGTGGCTGGAGGCTGGTGCGTGCCGTGGCTCAGTACTGGTGCAGCAGGATGGTGTGGAGCGAGGAGGAGCAGTGCTACCACATCAGAGGTACTCCTGCCGCTGCCAGCCCCGTCTGCAGGGATGGGATGATGAGCAGAGGCTCGGAGCCCCCCTGCCAGACCTGGACTGGGGCACGCGGCCGCTGCCCTCTGGAATATCCCAGGGATAATGGCTGTGTCCATGCAAACAGGACAAGATGCTCGGCTCTCTTCCAGTGCTAGAGTCTCTCAGCCCCTTCCCGCTCACGGGACACCTCTAAATGTCTTCTTCCGTGCTGGCACAAGCTGATGCCACAAGCATGGGCGAAGCATTCAGATCTGCTGTTGTGGCTGGTGGCACAGAGTGCAGGGGCCTTAGAGGGGAAGGACGTAGCTCTGAGTCTTCTCTAAGAGACCCGAGTTGAAATCCCCGGAGCTGCAGGAGTTCAGTCCCGTGCAGCACCCGTGGTGCTGTTGGTGCTGAGCAGGGTCAGCCACTGGTGTGGGTGGCAGGGTGCAGGGTCTCCCTGTGGCAGCGGTCCTGCTGCAGCACCCTGTGTGAGCAAAGGGGGGCTGCTTCTGAAAGGGGGCACTGGGGAGGAGAAGGGGGGGGTCTGTGGGAGGAGGGTCTGCAGGAGCAAGGCTGGGTTAGAGCAAAGGGGTCTCCATGGGCTGGAGAAGGCCCTGGGGTTGCTGCAGGCTGGCTCCAGTGTGGAGATCCCTGGATTTGAGCCCGGTGCTCCCAGCGGAGTCATGCATTTAAGTGCCTGGTTTCGTGTTCCTCTTGGGAAGAGGCCTTCTCCTCTCCTGGCGTCAGGCTGCAGGAAAGCAGCGAAGGACGGAGCTGAGCTTGTGGCTAGGGGAAGATTGAACGGCTTGATTGCATGAGCCACTTGGAGGTCACCTGGCCTGGGGAGCGAGGGAGGTGCCCGCGGGCCGCGGTGCCAGGGCTGTGGCACGGGTCCCTTCGCTCCTCTCCCGCCGGGAGGTCGCTGCGAGGCTCCCGTTGCCCTCCCCAGATGTGATGCCCCCGGATGAGCACCACTGCCACGTTGACAACTCCGCTTACACCAACGCCGTGGCCCAGCGGAGGTAACCGTGCGGGAGCGCTGCCCCGGCCCCTCCCTCCTGCCCCAGGGATGGTCCTGCACGGAATGCACCCTCCTGCTCTTCCCCTGCCTCTCTCTGAGCCTGGCCCTTAGAAGGAGCTGTCCCGTGGAGGTTCATCTGAGCTGCCTCGGGTGCCCGCATGAGGGGGGTTCCGCCCCACAGGAGGGTTTCTCTGCCTGTGTTTTATGGGATGCCCACGCAGGCAGGCAGCAGGGGGCACCTGCGCCCGGAGGAGCAGAGCCCCGACACCGGCAGTGAAGCTGCTACCCCGGGCTTTAGCTCCGAGCCGTGCTCTCTGAGAGCCCTTTCTTTGCAGTCAGCTCAATCAGTTCTTTCTGTCCCCTTCGTCCTGCTCCCCGCTGCCAGGGGTCACAGGCCCCCGTCCGTGACGCGCAGCATTCTTCAGCTTGACTTTTGCAGCCCGTCTGGCTCGAGACTTGTTGATCCCAGTGCCCGAGCAGTGGCTGCGCCGCGCCAGCAGCATCAAAGTGCCCTTTGACGCGGGGAAGGGATACCATCCCGAGTACGACGGCTACCGCCCGGGTGAGCGCAGGGCAGCGGCCGCCGCGGAGCCGCTGCTCCTCCTTGTGAGCCTGTGAGCGACAGGGACCGGAGCAGCCACGGGAACCGCGGCTCGTGCTTGGCTGAAGGCTTCGGTGCTGCTCCCCAGCTGCAGCCGTGGGGTTGCCCTGGGGTGCCTGGGGTGCGGATGGGTTCTGCCTCTTGGTTTCTCGTTAGTGGGCTTCTCAAACGGGGGCATTTGGGAGCACAGAGAGTAGGAAGAGACCTCTAGCGCTGGGCTGCAGTGATGTGGTTGCTGTGAGCCCGTCGTGGATGGGTCTTACCTTCCTGCCAGGTGTTACCCTTGCAGCAGCCCCTGGCCTCTGGAAGGGAAGGGGCTGGTTCCAGTGGAAGCGGCCCGGTTTGGTGCCCCTTTTCTCCCTGCGAGCTGGTCCTTGGCAGCCGAGGTTTGGGTGACACCAGCCTGGGTGCTGTCGGTCAGGGCTGAGCCTGTGTCCCGCCTTGGTGCTGAGGGCAGACCATGGGCTGCTGCTCTGCTCTGGCAAGGTAGTGGGGTCGCACTGCCTTCCCCCCGATGTGGTGGCTGTTGTGCAGGTCTCTGTGTGCCGGGTTTGTTCCCATCAGTGACCACACCGTCGGTCAGCCGGTTGTTCCCGGCTGGAACTGTGGCCTGACCGAGCCTGTCCCCAGGTGAGCCAGTGAAACAAGCGGACGTGGTCCTGCTCGGCTTCCCACTGATGCACCCCATGAGCCCTGAAGTCCGGAGGAATGACCTGGAGATGTACGAGCCCGTCACAGAGCTGCACGGCCCAGCCATGACCTGGGTGAGCAGGGCAACGCCTGCCGTGGGGTTCCCAGAACTGTGGGATCCCAGCCTGGTTTGGGTTGACGGGACCTGGAAGCTCCAGTCCCAGCTGGAGGCTCTCTCCTGCAGAGCATGTTTGCCGTGGGCTGGCTGGAGCTGAAGGAGGTGCAGAGAGCCCAGGCCCTGCTCAACAAGTGCTTCAGCAACATCACGGAGCCCTTCAAGGTGAGCTGGGTGCTGGGTCCCACCTTGGCGCTTCCCGTGACCGCCGCAGCTCGGCTCTTCCTTGCTGCTCTCAAATGGGTCCCATTTCACCAAGAGGCACCACCAGGGTCTGTGCTGGCTGCACGCGTGGTCCCCAGGTCATTGCCGCATTGAGCTGCGTGGTTGCACGCTCCATCTCCTATCCGCGTGCTTCCCAGGGCAGTAAGGAGGCATCAGCTTCCTACCGGGCGATACAAAGCCCTGGGCCAGTGCCATCCCCCAGGCTTCCATCTGCTGCCAGGGATGGGCAGGGAACGGGGGTGGTGACGTGTAGAGATGCATCAGAGGCCGCCCAGTGCCAGGGTGGGCAGCAGGGCACGGGCATTGCAGCACCCCAGGTACGTGCCATTGACAGAGGTCAGTGCACACAAACCCCCAAGCCCGTGGGGGTCCCAGTGCAAGGGCTGAGTCCTCCCCTTCTCTCGCTGGAGCAGATCTGGGTGGAGAACTCGGACGGGTCAGGAGCCGTGAACTTCTTGACAGGGATGGGTGGATTCCTGCAGGCCATCCTCTTCGGCTACACCGGCTTCAGGTGAGGCCCCTGTTGTGTCCCTGCAGTTTGTAAGCTACGCCACGGGCTTGAGCCCTCACCTTTGAGCCAGAGCGATGAAAAAGAAAGGGACTTGCAGCATCCAGAATCCTCCAGAGCTCCCTGCAGGCAGTGACCAGATGGGAGCACTGCTGATGATCCTGGATGAAGTGTGAATCCTGGTGGAGGTCGGGGTGGAGTTCCCAGAAATGATGAGCTTTGGTCCATTTCTGCTTCAGCCACATCAATATTGAGAGGCATTGGGTTCAGAAGGAGCCAAAGCTGGGCCGACACCGAGCTCCTCAGCACGAGCTGAGACCCTCCATCACCTCTGTATGATCTCAGGGCTGTAGGTAGCCTGCATCATGTTGATGTCTGTATCAGAAACGCATCTGGACCTGCCCCTTCCATGGGTGGTTGTGGCCATGGTTTCTTCGCTCAGTGTGGGTGAAGCTTCCAGGCTATGAGCCACCAATAGGTTTGGCTGTTAGTTAACTGATGGAAGAGAAAGTCCATGCAGCCACCTTATGGGCAAACCCAAGCCTGCTGCTTTTATACCTTATACCTCCACCCCTTACAAAGGGGACCTTTGCAAACAGAGACCCTGGTCCTCTCCTCCACACTGAGCTGCCATAGGCCTATTCCCACTGTAAAGACTGGAATGGATTTGGAGCAGATAAAAGACTTCCCAGGACACTGGGTGAGTCACTTGCACACTTGGGAACCTAAATGGCATCCCCTGAGCCTGCTTCTGGTTTAGCTGGAGCATCATCCCGTGTCCTTTGGACGTGGTGCGGCACAGCCTCACGCAGCCCCTCTGAGGCCATATCCTGCTGCACACAGGAGGCTCTGCAGGTCCCTGTGGAGGAAAGCGCTCATCCAGCATCACCACAGCGCTGGAACACCTCAGGGACCACATCAAGCTCTTCCCATCATTTCCACCCTCTCCTGCCCAAAGCAGCCGCCCCTGGAGTGTGTTCTTGGTTGAAGTGAGGATGGAGCCCACCCCTTTCGTGGTGGAGCTGGGTGTGAGCTGCCTGTTCCCAGCTCAACCCCCTCATCCCCGCTCTGGGGGCTGTGGATGCTCTGTGTGTGTGTGGGTCGGGTCGGACCCCTGGCACCGGCTCAAGCCGCAGGCGCTGGGGCTGCAGCCAGATGAGCAGGGATGTTGAAGTGCCATTCAGCAGCCCTCAAGGCTGGGTTCGGGCCGTGCCCCATGGAAGCACGGCCCAGGCTGGCATTGCCCTGCCCCTGAGGCTCTCCACTCCTCGAGCCTCTCTTGAGTCCCCTCCAGCCCATTGAGCCCTCCCAGCAGACTGGAGGTGACGGTCGAGAGCTCTTAGGTCAAGATCTGAGGGGCAGATAGCGGTGACCTCTGCCTCTTCTCATCCAGAACACACAAATGGCCCCATCTGACTTTGGGTGAGGCCTTGGAGGGGTTCAAGCTGTTTGCTTGGGTTTGATCTCTCAGTGGAGGAGCTCCCACAGTGGTGCTGAGCCCCTCAACCTGCAGGGAGCGGAGCTGAGGTGGGTTTCTGGGGGTTACGTTGCTGACCTGCTCCGGTCACAGCCCGGAGGAGAGGTGAAGACCGGGCTCTGTGGGAGCATCCCCATTGGGATGGCCCGTTACAGGCAATGGGGCAGTGCTGGGGTCAGGTGCGTCTCAGGAGCTGAGGACCACTTCCAGGAGCATCTCCAGCAGGCATGGGGTGAGCTCCTGCATCACCTGCGCTGTGTTCTGTGGCTGTCAGAGCAATGGCAGCAAGTGAGAACAGGGACTTGTGATGGGTACCTCAGCTGAACCTGCATCCCATGAGGCTCAACCTGCATCCCATGATCCCAGCCACAGCCACCTCCTGAGCTCCTCACTCATTGCAGTGCATGGCCAGAGCCTGCACCCGCAGGTCTGTGTGACCAGGTTCAGTGGCAATCCCTGCCCGGGGACCACCCGTGCCAGTGCCCTGTCCCCCTTCCCCTCTCGGGGCAGGGCATTCCCAGAGCTTCCCAGCAGAGGTGCCGGGGCGGGCCCGGAGCCACAGCGGGATCTGAGCTGCTCTGCAATGGAAAACAGCATTTTCCTTTGTTCCTTTTTTATCCAAATAACCCAACAGAGTGGAGGCCGCAGAGCCCAAGGGAGGACCTGGAAGGGGCAGGAATGCGTTGGGGAGCTGGGCCATAAGATCACAGCCCAAGTTGGTCTTCACCAGGTGCTTCATTGGTGTGCTCTGGTTTGCCCAGAGATCCTTGGGATACACCAAGGGCTGAATTCTCCTGTATGTGATGGGACACCAGAAGGGACGTATCTGAAGGGATATCCAAGTACTGATGCTCCAGTGTCTGAAGGGGCTGTAAGGGTGCAGGATAGGGGCTCTTCATCAGGGACTGTATCGACAGGACAAGGGGTGATGGGTTCAAACAAACTGGGGAAGCTCAGGCTGGGTATAAGGCAGAAGCTCTTCCCTGTGAGGGTGCTGAGGCGCTGGCACAGGGTGCCCAGAGAAGCTGTGGCTGCCCCATCCCTGGCAGTGCTCAAGGCCAGGTTGGACACAGGGGCTTGGAGCAAGCTGCTCCAGTGGAAGGGGTCCCTGCCCGTGACAGGGGTTGGAGCTGGAGGAGCTTTAAGGTCCCTTCCAACCCAAACCATTCCATGATTCTGTGACTCTTTCTGCCCACAGAGGCACAGGGTAACGGGAGATGCCTCTGGGATGTGTCTGTCTCTGTGGGGAGGTGGCTGCCCCCCCCCCAGAGCTGCTTTCTCTCGTGGCCACCCCTTGTTCCCAGCACTGATGTGCCGCTGCCTTTCCAGGATCACCAGGTCCAGCCTCCGCTTCGACCCGGCCTTTCCCGACGACATCCACGAGCTGAACATCACCGGCGTCTCCTACTTGGGCAACAAGCTCAGGTTCAGCATCACCAGGGAAGAGATGGGGATCGAAGTGACCGAGAGCCCCCGGGCTCTGCCCCTGGAAGCGGTGCTGGAGGAGTCGGGGCAGCGGCTGCCCCTGCACGAAGGTGCGGTGCCACCGGGGTGGGCTGCTGCTGCGGCGAGGAGCATGTGGGGGAACCCGCAGCTCAGGCCGGGTTTGTTGCAGGGCAGAGGGTCTCGCTCCCCACGGCTGCCGGATGGATCCAGAGATCATCCCCTGGCACCCCTTGAACCTCGGCTGCTCTGCGCCGGAGCAGGAGCAAGTTGAAGAGAGGATGGCGGCAGAGGGGAGGGGGAAGGTGGGTCCCAGGCTTGGCCATAAACCCTCTGTCCCCATGGGGCTGTGTGTGCTCTGTGTCTCTGTGGCCCCAGGACGGGTGGTGGGCTCAGAGCTGTCACTGTGGCTGGGGTGGCAGCAGCTCCAAGATGCTGAGCATCCTCGTAAGCAGCACGGGCATCCGGTCTGGTCTCTGCCATGTCCTGCAGTGTCTTGGCTTAAGGCATTTCCTATGTCCTGGGAAGCCCCGGGGGCAAGAAAGGGAAAGGCTGTGCCCGTGTACACGTGCAAATGGGGACACCATACCCGCAGACCCAGCCTGCGCCTTGCAGCGTTCCCCCCAGCATCCCCTTTGCTGGGTCAGAGTGGGGATGTCGATGCATTCCCGGCCTGGCTGGGTCTGTCCTCTCCAAGCAAACCCCAGGAATCTCGGCTGGATCCCGCAGTCTATAAAAAGCCCCTTGGCCGCTCCCTGCTGCAGGCAGCATGTGGGAATGCTTTAGGAAGGAGGAGAAGTGGGTCCTCTGCCCTGTAATTACACTGGTTCCTGGTCAGGCCTCATCACCACTCACCCAACCCCTAATCTTTGCAGCAGGGCGTCCCCTTCATCCCCTCATCCCAGTGACAGCCCCATGGGCTCGATTTGGGTTTGTGTGGGGCTGGAGATAAAGCCCCAGTGGCCTCTGGCTGCTCTAGGCTGGGTGGCATGAAGCGTCACGGGGATTATGGCTTGTCCTGGCTGTGTCAAGCACGATCAGAGCATGAAACCCCTATGCTTAGCGTCCCTTTCACACACCCCCCCCCCGCACGACAGAGGCACCCAGAGGCTTGTGAAGTGTGAGATGTTTAATCAGCAGCGCTGCCCGAGGCGGGGGTGCTGTGTGCGTGCACACAGGGTAAAGGCAGGTGAAACCGAGCTGTGGGGCCGGGCGCCGTGGGGCTGGGGACGCTATTGCAGCAGGGACGATGTGGGGCTGAGCTCCCCCCCAGCTCAGTGGCCCCGACGCTGGGTCACCTTGGACCAGGGGCAGTCCTGGGGGGCCACCAGCCCCGCGAAGGGGTCTCCACAAGCCCTTCGCCCCCCATCACTTGTCCTCGTCGTCGCTGCCGTTGAGCTGGTAGGTGAAGAAGCCGACGGAGTCCTGGGCGAGCTGGGCGAGGTGGACGACGCCGGTGATGGCCAGCGCGGCCAGCACCAGCGGCAGCAGCACGCTGCACGCCGTGGCCAGCACGTTGTAGCACCGCGCCTTGGAGCTCAGGCGCCGGGCGGCCTCCACGTCCCCGGCCACCCTCCGGTCCCGCGCCTGCAATGCCAGAGATGGGGCAGCAGTGCCCGCGTGCCCTGCCCGTGTCCCCCCCCCAGCCGGGCTACGTGGCTTCGCCCTGTCGCAGCCCACGAGCAGTGCCAAGAGCGTGGCTGGATCCATCCCGGCCCCCTGCTCTTTGCCCATGGGATTTTCCCTCCCGCGTATTCCAGAGCCCCTCTGGCTCCAGCCCTTCCTTCCCCCATCTTTCCACCCTGGTCCAGCCGAGCCCATGGAGGGGCTGGAGGCACCCCAGCACCTTCTAGAAGCAGCAGTTGGTCCTCCAGCAGTGGCAGGAGGCTGTGATTGTCTAAAGGGGCTCATAGCCTTGTTAACAGGTAGCAGGAAAGGTGCTGGGGGGGCTTTACTTTGTCACCTCAACCAGCCTCCCGAGGGCGCTGGGCTCTGGTCCCGCACCCCAGCCCGCACAGGTGAGCTCCGTGCGTCCTCGGGAAGCCCATCCCTTGGCATCAGCACGGGGAGGGCTCCCCGGTGCCCCCGATCACCTCCGCATGGGTCCTCCCTGCCTCACGCCCGTACCTTGACGGAGAAGGCGAGCGCCACGAAGCCGAGGCAGCAGAAGTTCATGTAGATGGTGTTGAAGATGGACCAGACGAGGTGGTCGCGGGGCAGCGGGGACGGCTCCCGCTTGCGCTCGTCCTCCCGCGGGTACGAGGTGTCCATGGCCACGGCGAGGGGCACCCCGCGGCTCTCCGGCTGCACCAGCCCGGCTGCGGCAGCGGCGCGGGGCCGCTTCTTATATAGCCCCCGGCTGCGGCTCCTCTATATATAAACCTGGGAATTACAGCCCTGGCGGGGCTGTGGTTGTCCCTCGGCTTGGCTGGGACACGGAACACACACGCTGGGATGTGTGAGCCGATGGGGGTTTACATCCAGCCTTCCCCCTGCAACGAGGACCCAGCGAGAGGCTCGGGGAGGATGGAAGCTCTGGGGTGACTTTGAACCCAAGTGACCGCCAGCCCGAGGGGTCGGAACCCGGTGCCTCCAGCCCAGTTCCCCCCGTTGTCCTGGTTGGGAAAACCCCTCGTTGGCAGCGCCCGAGGCGTTAAACAGGAACTGAAAACCGAGATGTGGAGGAGCCGCTCGCACGGGCTTCCCTGGAAGCGGGAAGCGTTCGGGGCTGTGGCAGGACGGGGTTTGTGCTACCAGGAAAACACGGCACTGATTTATTGTTTCCCCTGCTCCTGAGCTTCCTGGAGGAACCTGGTGTGGGATCCGGGCTGGAAGCGCTCTGCACGGCAGCGGGGTGCAGGCAGGGAGCCGGCAGCTCCTCAGCTGCCCCAGAGGTGCACAAAGACCCTCTTCTCTTTCCCCGCGGTGAATGAGATGACAGACGAGGGGCTTTGGCGGCTCAAGCTTTATTTGTGGCAGCAGTGACCTGTACATGTGTCACCAGCAGCGCTCTGGGGCTTGTCCCCCCCTGTGTGTCCCAGCCGTCCCCTTGCGAGGCGGTGGAGCGGACACCGGGAGCGCGGGTAGCGAGGGGGCACCGCTCCTCTCCCTCTGCCCCCAAGGCGGGGCATTATGGGGGTCACAGCAGCACCCCGTGGGGTGGCAGCAAGCAGGGCCGTGGCCACGCAGTGGTCAGGTGGTGGAGAGCACGATGGAGATGATGATGAAGATGGTGATGCCCAAGAGGGTGAGGACCAGCAGCACGGAGCAGACGATGTTCAGCGCCTTGGCACGGGTGCCGTGCTGCCGGGCACCCTCCATGTCCCCCAGCACCTTGCAGTCTCGGGCCTGGGGGGCAAATGAGGGGCTCAGCGGTTACAGGGGGTTGGGGGGGGGGGGGGGGGGCGAGACATCCAGGGGGTTGGTGGTGGGACCTCTGGGATGCATCACCCCAGGGTAGAGGGTGAAGCCACCGGCACTGCCCGTCCCCATCTCCAGGGTGGGGAGGTTTGGAGGGCTGCAGTGGGGGAGGATCAGATCCGGGGTTCCAGGGCTGGACGGCATCGGTGGGGCTGGGATGGGAGAGTGGAGCTGGGGATTCCAGGGCTGGGCAGCATCGGTGGGGCTGGGCAGGGAAAGTGGAGCTGGGGATCCCTGGATGGGAGAGTGGTCAGGGCCACATGAGGGGAATGGTGAGGATAGGGCCGGGGCGGGGGGGTGTCCGGTTCAGTGTAGGGGTGTCGCATGTCCGGCTGTATCCGGGTTGGGTCGCGGTACGGGGGTCCGGTTTGGCTCGGGGTGTCCCGGGGCGCCCTTTCCGGTTGAAGCGGGCGGGTCTGGGTCTGGGTTGTCGGATGGGGGTCCCCGGTGTCCCCCCCCTCACCTTGATGGAATGGACGAGCGCAGGGAAGCAGAAGCAGCCGAGGAAGGTCAGCCCGAAGCCCAGGAGCACGTTAAAGAGCGACCAGAGCACGTAGTCCCGGGGAGGCTCAACGGGGCTGCTGGCGGGGGTCGCGCCCGCCCCGGGGGGCTGCAGTGGAATCGACACCTCCGCCTGCCGCGGCTTCATGGGGGCACTGCGGGAGGAAGGGAGCGGGATCGGTCCCGCACCGTCCCCAGCTCCGGACCCTCCCGCGACGGGACCGGTCCCGCACCGCCCCCAGCGCCGGGGGACGGGGCTCGGGGGTGACCCGAGCAGGGCTTGCTCACCGGGGTCGGGGGTTCTCCTCCCGCTGGTTTCAGTGCCCGCCAGGAGCTCGCGCTGCAGAACAAGGTCCGGGGGTAGAAAGCGAAAGAAGGAAGCAGCGGGAAGGAGAAACCCGCCTGAATCAGGCGAGCACCGCGGCGCGGAGCTTCGGAGCGCGTGGCCTTGGAACCAGCAGCATCCTTCCTGCTGGGTGGCCGGGTCCTGGTGCCAGAGGCTGTGCAGAGAACTGGTCCCGACGGCTGCTGAGGAACGTGTGTGTTCCTGCAGGGGCTGAACGGTTCCATACCCGTTCTCCTGGGTAGCACCGGAGTGGGGATGAGCCCCCCGATCTTCAGGCCTGAACCCACCGGGAACCAAAGGTCCCTTTTAACCTCCCTTTCACGCCTGGAGGGGATGCACAAGGGGGTGGCTGGAGGCGGGCGAGGGCTGGGGGGGGTGTGTGTGTGTCCTGGGGGTGTTTGTGCTCCAGCCCCAGTGCCTCATGTAGGGCACTGCAGGAAAAGCTGCTCACAGCTCAGTGGGGGTTCCCCATGTTGGGTATTGGGGTGCTGGCCAGGGACAGCCGCAGGGACTGAGAGCAGCAGGTTTGTTCCTTTATCCGTCTGTTCTGAGTGTCCATGCGAGTGTCGATACAAGCAGTTGACACGGTGGAGGGAAGGGTTGGCATCCAGAGGGACCTGGATGCACTGCAGAGGTGGGAGCTTCATGGAGTTCAACGAGGCCAAGTGCAAGGTCCTGCTTCCAACAGGGATATGGGACTGGGGCCTCCCTGCTGGGACGTCAGCCCAGAGCATCCCGGGATGCCCCAGGACTTTTTTGCCCGTGTTGGCTGGTTGAGGAGCTGGGGAGAGCTCTGGGGTGCACAGTGACCCCAAACCTGTGCCATTCCCATGGGCACCCACCCCGCGGCAGCGATGTGCTGCGAGGGATTTGGGCAGAACAAGCTGGATCCTGCTCCTGTGGGTCCGGGAGGAAGCGGGAAGGGGCAGGAACGTGTGGGATGCAGCACATCCCACCGGAACCTCGCCAGCCCCTTGTGCAAGGGCTGCGGCCGCTGCCAGCGCTGCGGGGCAGGAGCCGGGTCCCGGGGCTCAGCGTGAAGGTTTCCAGGAGGGTTCTGGGCTCATAAAGAGCCCCTCGGCCCCTGACGGGCCGGATGGGACGTTCACATCCGCGGGATGCCCCTATGGGCAGGGGCAGCCTCCCAGCGGCGTCCCCCCAAGGCAGCAGCGCAGGAACGGATGATTCACCAGGAGGCGGCTCCCCACAAGCCCCTGTTGTTGCGGTGGGGCCGCTGACACCGCCCCCCGAGCGCGGCTGCTTGGCAGGAGCTCCGTGTTCTTGGAAGTGAAAGACCTCATTCCGCAGCCTCGCGGGGCCTCAGCCCGAGGCCCTGAGGATGAGGAGCACAAAGGCTTCCAGCGAGCTTTGCGAAGGGGGAGCCGGGCCAGCCGCGTGCTTGAGGCGCTGCCAGATGGGATTGCGCCAGGGTTTGCCGTGGGGTCCCGTTGGATGCTGGTGAAGCTGGGCAGGGGTCGTGGTGGTGATGGCTGTGTGAAGGGTTGGTGCTTGGCGTGGTCCAGCAGAGCCCCGTAGAGCCGTTGCTCAGTCCCCACTGATGGGATGGGGAGAGAAGGGGAAGGGTGAGAGTGAGGAAATGCGTGGGCTGGGAATCAAGACAGCTCAATAGGGAAACCAAAAGCAAAGTAAGGAATTCCTTCACCCTTCCCATCACAGGCAGGGCTCAGCCATGCCCAGGACTCACGCACCATGGCCACTTGGGAAGACAACATTGATCCGAATGTCCCCTTTCCTCCTCCTTCCCCTAACCCCATAGTGTGACACCACATGGTCTGGGATGTCCCAGGGTCAGCCGGGATCACCCATCCTGGCTGTGTCGCCCCATCTCTTTGTGTCCCCCCGCCTGCTCGCTGGAGGAGCAGCAGAGCCCTTGGTGCTGTGTAAGAGCTGCTCAGCAGTAACCAAACATCCTGCGTTACTCACCCTGTTTCCAGCTGCCCTGGGTTCAGCAGTAGCAGTCATGTTTCTCCTCCTTGGTAGCTGGTGCAGTGCTGTGTTTTGACTTTTGTCTTGGGAACAGAGCTGATAGAGATGTTTTGGTTTGGCCAAGGACTTTGTGAGCCTCATGCTCTGCCAGGGGGGAGGGGAAGCCAGGAGGAAGCAGAGGACACCTGACCCAAGCTAGCCAAAGAGGTATTCCATACCCCAGCACGTCATGCCCAGGATGTAACTGGGAGTTAGCCGGAAGGGCTGGGAGACTGCAGGGTTGGAGGAGGTATCGGTCAGAGCTTGGTTGGGCTGGGGGGGACGAGTTATCAGTCAGCTGGTGGTGAGGTGTTGTATTCTCTTCCCTTATTTCCTTTATTATTGGTGGTAGCAGCAGTGATCTGTGTTATACCTTAGTTACTGAACTGTTCTTATCTCAACCCGGGGGAGTTGCATTCTTTTTGATTCTCCTCCCCGTCCCTCCGGGAGTAGGGGGAGGGCAAGAAGGGGGGGGGAGTGAGTGAACGGGTTGCCTGACTGGGTTTAAACCTCGACACCAGCACAAACCCAAACCGGTCCCAGCGCAGCCACTGGGAGGGAAATTAAGCCTGTCCCAGCCAAACCCAGCACAATGTGAGCAAGGGTGGGGGGGGTCCCTGTTCCACTTTGCCCCGGTGATCTGGGATGGAGCCACATCCCTCACAGCTTCCCCTTCCCTCTGGAAGCACATCCGGACCCCGCTGCCGCATGCGTGGCTGCACAGTCCTGATGCAGCTCCTCTGGCTCAAGCCCTTTGCACAGCCCCACAGCCCAAAGTCACAGAATCAAGGAATCACCCAGGCTGGAAAATTCCTTCAAGCTCATCCAGGCCAGCCCTTACCCAGCCCCATGGCACTGAGGCCTCGTCTTCATGGTGTGTGAGCACTTGCAGGGATGGTGCCTGCAGCCCTGCCCTGGGCAGCCTGTTCCAACGCCTGAGCACCCTCTGGGGCAGGAATTGTTCCTCAGCTCCATCTAAACCTGCCCTGGTGCAGCTTGAGGCCGTTTCCTCTTGTCCCATCCCTTGTTCCTTGGGAGCAGAGCCCAGCCCCTCCTGGCTCCATCCTCCTGGTGACACCCCAGCAGAGGTAAGGTGCTACCTGCATCCTTGGGGTGAAGGTGAACCTTACAAGCACTTTATATCCCCTGCGGATGCTTCTTCCCCACAAGTACCCAGGCTCACCAAATGCATCATCCCCATGATGGTCCTTGCCAAGGGCAGATGCTGTTTTCCAGACAGCCAAGCTGGGGTGGGGAGATCCCAACCGCCTCCCCCTGCCAAAATGAACCCGAGCCAGGGGCAAAAGTGAAAGAAACCTTTATTTGAACCAGGTTTTTGGAAGGAAGCATTTTTCCTCTGGGGCACTTGGGGCTGTAAATCAGGGCGAAGCAGCAAGCAGGAAAACAAGCTCTGCCCCTTTGCTATAGGCAGTTTTTGGGAGCTCAGCTCCCAGAGTGCATCCATGCACTTCCAGGGAGGCAAAGAAAGGCTCCACAGGGGCTGTGAGCAGTGAGGGAAGGAGGACAGGATCCCAGCAGGCTCCAGGGTGCTCCAGGGAGGTGTCACTGCACTTGTGAGGGCTAAGTGGGGCCATAGAAGGGCTGATGCTCCTGCTCGTTCATGAAGCTCTTCATGGCAGCAATGGTGCCATTGGCGGCGAGGATGACGATGAAGATGGCGAGGGCGACGAGGGCGATGCTGAGCACCAGGGCAGTGATGTTGAGCTGCTTGGCGGTGGATCCATAGCTCAGCGCTCCGCTGTAGTCACCGAGCACTTTGCGGTCCCTGGACTGGGGGAGCCGGAGGAGGCAGTCAGTGGGGATGGGGGGGACAGTGGGGATGGGGGGACAGTCAGTGGGGATGGAGGGGACAGTCAGTGGGGATGGGGGGGACAGTCAGTGGGGATGGAGGGGACAGTGGGGATGGGGGGACAGTCAGTGGGGATGGGGGGACAGTCAGTGGGGATGGGGGGGACAGTCAGTGGGGATGGGGTGAAAGGGACAATGTGGGGTTGGGGGGAGCCTACGGAGGGGGACACTCGGGGGGCTCAAGGCTGCAAGTGGATGGGAAAGGTGCTGACCCCTTCTTCAGAGCCTCCAGCCAGGGCCAGTGGGCCATGGGGGGGCTTTGGGTGCTCTCGTGTTTGGGGCTCTGTGAGGCTCATAGTGCTACCTGGGACTGGGGGCTCTGTGGGTCCGTGAGGGCTCTGTGGGATCTATGGGACACCCCAATGTTGGGGCTCTATGGGGTCTCCCTGACTTCGGGGCACTCTATGGGGTCTCCCTGCGGTCGGAGACTCAGCGGGGTCTCCGGGGCCGCCCCTATCCCACCGGACTGGTGATGCCCGGGCTCCCCACGCCCTCCCCCGATGGGAACCCCCTCCCCGATGCCCCCCACCTTCACGGAGTAGACGAGCGCCATGAAGCCGAGGCAGCAGACGTTGGCGTACAGCGTGGTGCAGATGGACCAGACGAGGTGGTCTCGGGGCGGGGGCTCCCGGGGGCCCTCCACCGGTATCACGGCGCTCTGAGGCAGCCCCTGCATGTCCAGCGCCTCCGGCAGCGGCTCGTAGGGCGCCCGCGACCGCTCCATCCCGCGTGCGGTTCCAGGGAAGGTTCCGGGGGAGGCTCCGGGGCTCCTCGGTTTCGTTTCCCCGAGACCAAGTGCGAGGCGGGGCGGTCCCTCCCTGCCCCTGCCCCCCCCTTCCTGTGCCCCCTCCCCCTTTGCTGTTTTCTGTTTTCTCCACCCCTTCCTTCCATGGCCCCTCCTTTACCCCCTTTTTGCCCCCTTTTTCTTTGCTCTCTTCTTCCCTCTGTCCCCTCCCGGGGGGGGGGGGGGAGGCGTTTGGGGACAACCTCGAGCGTTTTAGGGTGCTTGGCAAAGAAACCCGGAAGAAGGTCCCGTCCCCATGGCACAGGGAGCCCCCTTCCCTCAGCCTTCAGCCCCACAGCCCAGCTCCCGCACGCCGGCTGCTGGAATTTCAGTGCAAGTGGTTCAGGCCGATGGGGCACAACTTCATGGGGTTGAAGGGACCTTAAAGCTCCTCCAGCTCCAATCCCAACCCCTTCCACTGGAGCAGCTTGCTCCAAGCCCGTGTCCAACCTGGCCTTGAGCACTGCCAGGGATGGGGCAGCCACAGCTTCTCTGGGCACCCTGTGCCAGCGCCTCAGCACCCTCCCAGGGAAGAGCTTCTGCCTAAGAGCTCATCTCAGTCTCCCCTCGGGCAGGTTCAAGCCATTCCCCTTGGCCTGTCCCTACAGGCCCTTGTCCCAAGCCCCTCTCCAGGTTCCCTGCAGCCCCTTCAGGCACTGGAGCTGCTCTCAGGTCTCCCCTTCACGCAGCAGAGGGGCAGGATCCCCTCCCTGAGCTGCTGCTCACACTCTGGGGGTGCAGCCCAGCACACGGGGGGGCTCTGGGCTCAAGCGCACACTGAAACCAGGACATGGGGAGCTGCTCCTCACCCAACAGCCCAAGTCCTGCTCCTCAAGGCTGCTCTCAATCCATTCCCATCTGAAGCTATTGCACAGATGGGCCTCTGTAGTATGACAGAGTATTACCTTTGTTAGTGCACTTTAATTAGTTGTATATCTTCACCGTATTCTATAAGGAGGTAATAAAATTTTACAGGCAACTCTGGGATTGTTCATGCTTAAATAAACCAAACCAAAGGACAGCCCGGCCCTGGGCAGGACTTTGCTTCTCAGCAGCTTCAGGCTGTCTTCAAAGGATAAAGGATGTCCCAGGACAGGCGGGATCCCACAGCATCCTATCCCTGTGACACATCCCGGATCACAGTAACTCCAGCAAGATGGACCCCAGGGACACCGGGACTTGGGGATGAGCCCAATCACTGCTGGAGCACTGGGAGGGTGTAAGAGCCCTCTGTAAAGGCACATCTGGGGTGCTCTGGTCAGGCTGGGACCCTGCATGTGCATGGGTATTAGCTCTGTTGTTCTGCACTGTGTCCCACTTCCCTCCATTAGCATGAATTTTTCGGGATGACCCATCGACGTTCCCAAACCTCCTGCCCCCCACCCCAGGGCCTCTGGTGGGGTGGGAAGAGGCTGAACTGAGGTCCTATGAGCGAAGGCTGCACAACCAGTGGCCTCCTGCTCCCCGTGCTGAAGAGGTGCAAGAATCAGGGGAAACAACCTCTTCATTTCACCAGACGTGCCTCTTCCACATCCACTGTGCAGAGATCCCCTTCATCCCGGCCTCCTCCTCCTCCCTAACGGGACCGAGCTCTCTGCTCGGTGCCTTTCATCCCGGTTGGGCTGAACTGGGCTCAATTATCAGCTAATTACCCTGCGAGGGAAGGCGCTCAGGGAGCAGCGATCCAGAGCTCTGGTGCCCTCTAGTTTCCCAGCTCTGGATGTGGTTTTTCTCTCTATTAACTGATTTTCCCCCGGCTTTTGTCCCCCTCCGGAGCCGCGAGGAGGAGGAGGAGCTGCCTCGGATTGTGCGGCGGGGAGGGAGAGCCGGAAACGAAACCAACCCGCTCTTTTCTCTTGCCAAGGCAAGAACCGGCCCCTGCATCGGTGACCTGAGTTGTGGCCGGTCTCAGCCTGGCTGTGCACGGGCGACCCCGGAGCCGTGGAGCGGCTCCTCCGAGGCACACGGTCCGTGACTCCGCCACCAGCAGCGGCGAGGCCGTGGTCACCGAGGGCATAATTAAGCCCTATTGTTAATTAGCGTTGTGCTTTGCACAGGGCGAGCTCCAGCCCTCGCACTTCCCGATGCCCGTGGGGGTCTCTGCATCCGTTCCCATGGGATGCTCGCACCCAGCAGAGAGGACCACGGCGATCCCATCCCCAAGTGATCCCCGCAAGAGGGGGTCGGGGGGATCCATGCACCCACCGGGGCGGGGCGGGGATGCTCGCATCGGTGAGGGGGGGTCCCAGACACCCCCAGACCGGACCCGAGGCGCTCGGGCTCCGCAGGCCCTGCCACGGCCGCTCCGGAACGTACCATCCCCGCCGCGGGGGGAACGGGTCGGGAGCGGCCCCACCGAGGCCCGTGTTACCCATCCCGCCGCCCCCCCGGCTCTGCCCCGCTCGCAGAGTCCTTCCCGTCCCTCCCTCCGGCACGGGTATGGACGGGGTGGGAACGGGAACAGGGACAGAGCCAACCCCCCCCGCGCCCCGCATGGCCTCGCCCGCGGCCCCTCGCACGGATGCCGGCCCGTTGGCGTGGAGACGCGCGGCGCTCCGCGGGCTCCTCCCTCGCGGGGCTCCCATTGGCTGCGAGCCCCCGCTGGGCGCCTCGCAATTGGCTGGCGGTGCCGTCGCTCTGGCCGAGGGGGCGTGGCTGCGGCGGCATCGGGGCGGTCCCGTCCCGCATCACCCGCGCCGCGCCCCGCCCGGCCCCGCTCATTCATTCCCCACCCGCGGTACCGGCGCCACGGGCCGGCGGCGATGCCCCGGGAGGCCGGGGGTCCCCGCGCCGAGCCGCCCCGCTGCCCTCGCGGCCGGCCCGGAACGAGCGGGCTGGGCGGGCGGGGGGCCCGATGGGCCGCGGCTAGGCCGGCGGCGGCGATGCGGGCGGCAGGATGCCGCGGCTCCCGGTGAAGAAGCTCCGGAAGCAGCTGAAGCTGCTGCTGCTGCTCGTGCTGCTCACCTTCGCCGTGTGGTTTACCTACCTCCACATCAGCCTGGTGCGCCAGGGCCGCGCCCTGCGCCTCCCCTTCGCCTACGGCAGAGGTAACGGGGAGGGGGGCGAGGCGGTCGACCCTCCCTTTAACGGCGGGGGGCAACACCGGGGGGCACTCCCCGATCCCCATCACCCCTCGGTGCGGTTTGGGGTCCCCCTCAAAGAGCGGGGGATGCCCCCCAAGGCGCTGGGCTCTCTGAACCCACCCCCCCAACTCCGCTCTCACCCAGCGCCCCCAAGGTGGGACACCCCCCCCCCAAGGTGAAACCCCTCCTCCCAGGGCGGGTCCATCCCGCATCACCCGGGTGGGTCTGGGGAGAGCAGGCCCCCACCGCGGGCACCTCGTGCTCTGCCCTTGTGCCTTTGGGATCGGGGGAGACCCAGGAAGGTCCCCAAACAGCTTGGGGGGGGGGGTTCATCCCCTTTCTCGAGGGGCCCCGGCCTCGTTTTTCCGCCCGCCGCTTGGCTGCGATGACAAAGAGGCCATTTATAGCCACTGTCGCTGCCTGGAAGGGGCAAACCCAACCCAACTCGCCCATCCTTGCCCAGCACTCTCTCATCCTGTGCCTCCCTATCCAAATAACCCCCTTCCTCCTCCGACCCTCTGGACGCCCGGGATGCGATCCGGGATGCTCCGAGGGGCAGGTGCTGGCGCCCTGCGGTTCCGCTTTGTGGTGAATTGCTCCCTTTTTTACCCTTGCAGACCTCATTGGACTGCTTGGAGGGGACATAAAACTCCATGGAATATTTGCTGTGTGAAACTTGAGCTGCAGCGATTCTGCTCGGACTGAACTTACGGGGTTTGTCCTAAAAAAACAGGAAGGAATGAGAGCTGGTGCTTATTTAGGCAGGGAATGGCGGGGAATGGCTTCCCTGGGCGCACGGAGCGGCTCTGGAGGCTGGTGAAGCCTCTCAGCTGGGAAACCCGAAGTTTCCCACCGTAGCGGCGGCATGATCCTGCAGATTTCGGGGCCTTAAGGGGAAATGGGGATAGCGGCGATCGGAGCAGCAGGGACCGTGCATCCATCCCCGCGGAGGAGGGGTTGCGGGGAGGCTGCGCCGCTGCTTCCCCTTCCCCGCTGCAGGGTCGAGCCTCATGGCAAAGCCACAAGTAGCAGCGGTCTGACCGCAAAGCGGCTGCCCGGGGTTATCCTGGGTCATCCCGGGCTGTCCCGGTTGAGGCAGGGCCGAGCTCTTCCTCTTTCGGCACCGCAGGATTTCCTGGCACGGGAGGATGCGCGGCGCGATGCCTGCGTGTGCCGCTGCCTGCCCGGGGGGGGGGTGTGTGAGGTGCTGGGCCCTGTTCCTACCCTCCCTCACCTCCTCCCTACGTGCCCGGCATCGCAGCCTATCCCGCGGGATGCTCCAAAGGGGGCTGTGCTGCTGCTGTGGCTTCTGCAGGGGAAGCTGGACCTCGCCTGGGTTGGATCCTGCCTTTCCGTGCTCAGGGAGATGCTGCTGCTTGCACTGGGGGGCTGAAAGCCCTGTGAGCGTGGGGCAAAGCCAGGGTTTAGGTCCCATGGAGGCTTTTGGAGGTGCAGTGGTGGAGAGGGGCTGGTGGAAGGGAATGGGATAGGTGGAGGCTGGGGAAGGGATTTGGTCACACGTAGATGGACCCTGGTCCTGCTGCTGCAACCCAGTACATGATGCTCCCCGGGCTTAGTGGGTATCCCTGGGTGTGCAAGTGGGAGGACGGGGGGGTCACTGCACCCTCCTGGATCCTGTCTCCTTCCTCCTCCTCCTCAATCCATGGCATCTCACCATCCAGGACCTGCTGTGGGGAGCTCTGGTGTGTGCTGGTGCCAGATCCCATACGGATGGGGTGGGGTGCTCATCCCTGGATCTGGGGAGGGTGCTGGACTCTTCAGCATCACCCCAGGGACCTGTGCACCAGAAGGTGCCTGAGATTCAGAAACTGGGATTTGATTTTTGGCCACCATGAGCCAGAACCTGCTGCTGAGGCTGCTCCAGCTGCTGGGACCTCATCACACAG